TCAATAATGGCATTCACTGGGATATTATTATTCAAATAAATCTGAGCATACTTCAACTCGTGCTTAAAATTATTTTCTCCAGATGATCTGCAGGAATTAACACTAAAGCTTTTATTTTTTAAGTTATCACTGGAAGGGGTATTTTTTCTTTCTGATTTATCGCTTCTGGAATCATGTTTTATTCAATCTTTTCGAGCATTGGCGTGCAAAGTGATTAATTTCCCCACAAACATAGCATTGTCTCTCCTCTCTATTTTGTTTATCTATCGCTTGAGAAAAATGATCTGGGTGGTTTTTTCTGAAATATTTTTTCTCGCTTCGAAAGAAAGTGCTCTCCCCATGTTTATGGGTATTGAAAACTTCTCTGTGTGGCATATTTTTCGACGTAATGTAAATGTCTTACTCTCAAGCTAACTCGACGGGATTAAACCAATTTTCTTCCTGGCGGATTAGAATATGACTGCCCATGTCTTAATTTAATGTCTCAATTATTTTATCGGATATGATTAAGTTGCATAATGATTTAACCCACTGATGGTTCTGCACGTAAAAAGTCGCATTTCAACCTGCAGTCTTTTCTGCATAGCAAAACCGGTTTTCCCATGTTAACTGATAGGGGAACTGTGTGTAGGGGAGAAACATTCTCCCAATTTTGCCCATTTCCTTAACCGCCAGTGGGTTAAATGTTTCAACTTTACGTAATTTGCAATAGTACTCGAAATGTGAATTTAAGCGGAGTAGCAAATTAAATATATGTTTCTTCTTTAAATTTTGAGGCATTTTTGAAGTTATTCAAACATTATTGGGAAGTTTGTTGAAAATCGCGCACTATTAAAGCTTTTAATTTTTCATAGTTTTTAAAGTCATCATCTTCAATGTATAACAAGATGCTGTTTGCTTTTTCACCTAGCATATTATTTAAGATTTCGGCTTTAAGCCCCTGATTTATGTTTTTCGTAGCAAAAGCTCTTTCCAACGATGAAAAAAAATGATTAAAATTTTCAGGTTTCGATGGAACTGGAAGAAATATAGTTTTAATTCTATGAATTAGATTCTCAATGTTTGTTTCAGGTGTGTCATTTATTGTTTTAGGAGGATTTCAGATGCTTTGTTTTTCACCTCTAATAAAAGCATTTCTTTCTCAAGTCTCTAATTTTAAATTTTTTAATTTTGCTTTGTTTAAGTTCCCTGTCTGCTGTTTGTACTCTTTCTTCTACGGCATTAGTTATCAAATTTTGGTAGATTCAATTTTCTCTTTTAATTTAACAATATTATCGCTGCTGTCTGTTATTGCATCCTATTTCCTCTATTACTTTTACTAGATCTTCTTTCTTTGAATTTTTATGCATTTTTGAAATTGAAAATTTCCTACCTTGATTGAAGAGACTCTCAATGGTAATCTAATATTTCGTTGATTCAGACCAGATTCGTATCCCTTTTCGTATCCAAGGATTTCACAACTGCACTTCCCGGAAAAGTAGACTGCCCTTCTGATTTGCACTGAATATTCCAATGGTTTTGGAAGGTTTCTGGATCAATTCCAGTTATTGCTGCTGTCCTTCACGACAGATTCAGTTATTGCTGATTTCGGAGAGTTCAAATGTCTCTGCTGCTGCTTTTCTTCGCTCACTGATTTTTTGCTGCACTTCTCCGCTGCTGATCACTACTGCTCCGGAAAATTCGTGGATTCCAACTGCCCTTCTCTGCAGATTCAAGACGGAATTTTAAAACAGGAACAACATTCGAGTGAAAGTTAATTTAAGTTTCCGCTCCTTCACGAGCGTAGAATTCGGGGATTCCCCTACACGTGATTTAAAACAGGAACAAAATCTACAGCTACTACATGAGAGTAGAATTTCACTTTTTTTTCTTCACAATTCGGTGAATATCCCCTTCTTGGGATTTCAAAAGTTATTTAGCTGAAAAATCCCTTGCTCAGGATTTCGAAGTTGTTTGGCTAAAGTCCCCTTCGCAGGATTTCAAAGTTCAGAAATTTTTTCGCTCGACATTCAAATCTCGGACGCAAGCCCACATTATTTGTGGGAGTTAGTGCAGCATAAGATGAAATAACAACAATAATTTAACATTCAAACATAACATTTAATACAAAGAAGAGGAAATACGTTTAAATTTAGAAGTGACATGGTTAGTGAGAGCTGCCTTCTCGCACTATCTCCAAAATGCATGTGAATAAGAAATTAAATTGTTCTATCCAAGAAGTTCAGAGTTAATTATAAATTTGGGACTGGCACCTCTCAATGACAAAAAGGATGATGCAACTATCTTAAAGTATTACGTGATATTCGCAGCTATTACACTATGACATTGAAACAACAGCTCCACACACACATATATATATATATATATATCCAATCGAAACCCATGTGGTTAGATTGGAATTCTTTAAATATTTTAATTTCAAATAAAATAAAAAAATAAGTATAAAATTTAAAGAATTTTATCTATTTTTTTTGTCTATAGAGTATACAACAAAAAATTAGACAATTTTGCATGTGTGACGTTTATTTTTGTATACTGAATGTCTTAAAATAATAATGCTGATTCAAAACAACATTATTTAAAAATTTTACTTGAGATATTGGTTTAAAGAAAATATGATAATGAATATTTAATAATAAAAAATATATTCGATTCTTAGCAAAACTCTATAGAATATTTTTAAAAAAAGCAAAAGTTTATTTTAAAGAAATCAATCATCGAAAAGTAACGAAAACTTTATCCAAAAAAATTCATTGTACACTTTCAAAAAAATCTCTGCCTATTAGTAAATATTCTAATTTTCGTTACATTAACATTTAGTAGAGTTTCCTTTCGCATCTACAATAACTTTCATAAGTTTGTAAATAAATGTAACTAGTTTTTTTTTTGTTGGGTGAAATTCGAACAGAATATTTTTTATTAAATTGAGACTTTTACAGCACTCAATTGTTAATTTATGAATTTTTCCACAAATTTTGTAATTTTAATCTTTGATATAAAGTCCTTCTTTTAAGCATTTTATCACATATTTCAATGCAATAGCACACGATAAACTAATTTAGCAATATTCATTACTGATTTATCTCTTATTATGACAAATAATCAACTTTCAAATTTGGTTTATTATTTTATTACAACCATGAGCCGTTTTAAAATGATAAAATCAAGTATTACAGACATAACAAGCAAAAGTTAAAATATAATTTTGCTATCATAAGTTTGGTACTAAATTACAAATAAATAAATAAAAGGAAAAATAATTAAATAAAAAAAATTAAAGTAATTGACGATAATTTTAATTCTGAAATCCGAAAACATTTAAGTCTACGATGACTTTCGTGAGGTAAAATTTTTGTTACTATTTGATTATTGATATCTTAAAAATGAACTTTTGCTTTGATTTACTAAGTATTGAACTAAAATATTATTAGCAGTTTTGCTAAGAATAGATTATACATCTTAGTATCAAATACCCATTCTGAAATATGAATTTTAATTAATGAATTTTTATTTCCTATTTCAATAAAAGTTATAAAAAGTGAGCGAACACTTTTGAGAGCCATTGTAACTATAAAAATTTATTGATATTTAATCACCTGGAACGTTTTTCCTTTGCTTGATGAAAATATATCAAACAAAACTTATCCAAAGTTTTATTAGTCATTCTGTTTTTGCCATTTGCTAGGTACACTTTGAGCAAAAACTACTTAAAGTAACACATGAAAAAAATTTATTCAATAAAAACAATATATTCTACAAGCTAAACATACTTTCTACAAATGTCTTAATTTCTTAAAAATTAATGTTGTACCAAAACATTAAGAAATAAATAAGAAATCTTGCCAAATTGTGAAAATAAATTATTTTTTCAAGATGGTATGTTTAAAAAATGACATTTTGAAAAAAATATTTTATAATATAGACACTTTTCTTGTACACATCCTACACTTTATAAGAAAGAAAGAAAAATACAGACCTGGAAATTTTAAGATTTTTACCTTGAAAAATCAGGGAAATTTGAAATCTGATTTGAGTGGCCACCCTGCAGAAATCGATAAAATTACTGGTCTTAGTTAAACAAAGCTTTCTTTACAGCTAAATCTGCCACAGTAAAAGATCATATTTTTAAAAAAAAAACTTTCATTAAAATTTCTTCCTCGAATCGCTCAATAGTCACATAGAATTATTATTGGGACAAAAATCATCTTGCAAGACCCACACTACTTACATTTCAGTTCTATAGTGTATAAAGTAAATAGAATCCAATACATAACTTGTTTTCATGCCATTATGCTTGGTAATAACTTTACAAAGTTTTACTGGTTATATAGGTAAATATTTAAAAACATTAAAAGTTTTTTTTATTTTAACTTTTTAGACTTGTTTTCACTTTTCTTTCCTTAAATGAGATGAAAAATTTAAATAGAATAAATCACAAATTTTATCGCTTTTTATTATACTATTGTGCTAAAAGCAGAAATCATGTCTAAAGCTATGATCTAAATGAAAAAATGTTAAAATAAACTTTAAAATTTTGTGTTGTTGATTTTTAAAGGCCTCATCATTCAGAAACTTTTACTTACATTTCTTGTCAATGCTTGATTACTGAATTAACAAAATAGGAAATAAATCATTGAGATTAATCAAAATAACTCTAATTGAATATGGTCCAAAAATGTTGATATAGTGCAAGATTGTTGTTAAGTGATGTATAGCATAGCAAAATGTTTTAAGGAATACACAAGTTAATGGTAATTTGCTTAAATTATTGATTTTTATGTTTTGAAAAAAGAACAAGTGCCTTTCTTAAAATATAGTTCTTTTTCACTTGTTTTGGATTTCCTTTTTCTTCCTTGCATATATTTTAAAACTAATTAGACAATATTACTATTTAACTACTCACTTGTTACTTAAGAGCAATATTTTTTACACAATACATAATATTTAATTAATAGTTTAACTAAAGATTTGGTTTTCTCATCCAGTATAATTTTTTTTAGAGTGTTCGCAGAGGTTTCATTAAAGCGCAGCAAATGGATTGTGGTGCTAGAATTTCAAAATACATCAGGTTTGTTCTCTACTACTTATTTTATTATTGTTATGTCTTAATAGTGATGATACATATTACAGAAAATATATAAACGGGTAGTTAACTCATTATAAGCAATCTTATTGGTGTTTAATTCTTAGGTAGTTAAACAAAAATTTAACTTTTTTTATCAAGACAGCATGTTAAAGTGGAGTGAAAAATGAAATTTACAGTTTCAATATTCCTACACGGGAAAAAGTTTCAAACTGAAAAGTATATTAATAATATTTAATATCAATTTCCAGACATGCCAATCCCCCAGTGTTTAACAAGAAACTCTGCTTTTTAATATATTATTTCATACTTCGGAATCCCGTCCAAAATATCCAGTTTTTTTCGTCGATTTCAACTCTATACAAAATTTTAGCCTGTTTATAGTTTAATTTCTCCAAAACTAGACATGGTGTGAGCTGTGATGCCGAGTTGCTCATCTTGACCATTCAGAAGTTCTATTTTGCTGCGACTACATGTTTGGTGCTGACTTAGCAGAAACCTTTTAGTAATTGAGAATATTGTTTCTGGTTGCCTGCTTTTAAGACAAAGGGCATTTGTCGCAATTGCTGAGAAATTTTATAAATCCTTTTGCGTTGTGGAGCAGAATAAAGTATTTCAGAAACTCTGATTCTTAAGTTTGTTGTTGGTTGAGGTTGATAATTCTTGTTTCTTCACATGAAATTATGTTGGGTAAAAAAGTTTAAAGAATATTTAACTTCTCTTAATTTATCCTATTCTGACAAATTTCCAGGGATTATTTCATCTAAAAAAAATTATGCGGTCTGCATATTGTGTTCGTTTGATTTTTCAATAATGCACAAAAGTTTAAAAAAAGTGATATTTCGCAGAACATAAAACGCTCAAAACATTTGGATAAAGCACAAATTCGCGCTGAAAATTAAAAAAAACACTGTTGAATTTGTGGCATAAAAAGATTGTTTAAATGTCATTCAAGCAGAAGTATTATTTACTTAATTTATTGCAGTGTATTATATCCCCATTAATGTTTCTGATTACGTTGGGCATCTCCTTTGGAATTGCCTCCTAACAACAAAATCGCTAAAGAATATGACTATGCTAGAACCAAAACAGCAGACAATGTTGGAGAGATGGCAAGAACTCAAAAATAACAGTTTTAGATTTTTTAAAGAATAGTGTATTTTTAATTTCTGCAGATGGAAGTAACAAAAGTGGGGCATCTCCTTTGGAATCGCCTCCTAACAACAAAATCGCTAAAGAATTTGACTATGCTGGAACCAAAACAGCAGACAATGTTGGAGAGATGGCAAGAACTCAAAAATAACAGTTTCAGATTTTTTTTAAAGAATAGTGTATTTTTAATTTCTGCAGATGGAAGTAACAAAAGTGATTTCAAATTATTTCCTATTGTAGTTACATACTATATAACAAAATCGCAAATTGTATGTGGAATACTATTATGATCATAGATTTTCAGATAAAGTATACAGAATTTTTTATTTTAATGCATTTATGACAATGTTTTATATTGTTATTTCCTATATATAAATTAAATTTTAACTTATTATTTTAATATCATAATTATATTTATCCTTTTGCCTGCAATACATTACAGCTGCATATGCAAGCTCTGAGGAATCACTAACCCCATGTAACTCAATATCATCACTACAAATATGTAATCATCTAGGTATTTTAATTTGAATACAAGTAAATCCTTCTAATTTAACTCACTTTTCATGCAAATCAGAAGATAAATTATCCCAATTAAGTTTTTCAAGCCAAAGTTATTGATTAAAAATCTTAATTAGAAATATACAGGGAGATAATAATCCCAATGGTCAAATAAACATGATGAGTGAGAAAGAATATTTCGTTTGGTTAAGGGAGGTTCCAAAATTAAAATCAACTTTAATAATAAAATTATCTGAATTTGAGTCCCATTGAAGACCTAATACTTTAATAAAATTATCTGCTCTAATGTCTGTAACAAATTATTAATTTTTGTTTTCTAGAAATTTGCTCTATTAATTGTTTACAATTTGAATGTCACTTTCTTAAGTGAAAACCCCTAGATTCTAACACTTCATTGAGTTTAGATCAATAAATATCAGAAACATTAAGATTTTTCAATTGTATTATCAATAGCAATTTGATGCAAAAATCTGGTAGCTTAAACTGGTGCTGAAGAAGTACCATAAGTTACAGTACACAATTTATACACATTTATTTTTGATTCAAAATCATTTCTCCAGACCATTCTTTGATAATTTTGATTGAGCTGGGGAATTAATATTTGTCTATACATTTTCTCAATATCAAAAGAAACGGAAATTTCATGAATTTTGAAGAAAAGAATAGAAAATAAATATCTCAGCACAACATAACCAGTACCCAATAAAGAATTTAATGAAACTTGTGTAGATAAATGGCAAGAACCATCAAACACTTCTCTAAATTTTGAAGTTGTACTGGAAGACTCCATAATTCCATGATGCTGTAAATAAAATGATTTAGAATTGTCTGGAGAAAGATCCTTATTCTTTTCTTCCATCATATGACCTAATTCCAAATATTCAATCATAAATTTCTTATCTTGAATTTCAAATTCTGGATCCCAGAGAAATTCTCTTTTCATATTCAACTTTCTATTAACTGCTGCAGATTTAGATTCACCTAATGAATCTGTGGATTTTATAAATGGCTATTAAGCAACAAAACGACCATTACTATTAAAAACATAATTTTCTTAAAAATGATTTTCACAAAACTCTTCATTAGTATCCAAAACACTTTTAATCATAAATTGGAATCTCTTCAGATTCTTGAAAACACTTTGGAAAAATTATGAATACATAAATTAGAATGTCAACTACTATGAGAATGGGACATTTCATAACAAATTATCCAACCAAATAAAGAATTTTGGTCTACAGCTTGTTTATCATTTAAAATTAGCAAATTACGAATTAACTCCAAAAAATAATCACATCCTATAATTACATCAATATATTTAGCTTTAGAAAAATTTGGATCAGCTAACTTGCATTTAATAAAATATAAATTTTCAATTATTTGTTCATGTGGTAAGCAAGCAGTAAGTTTACTTAAAACATAAGATTTTATAGTTATCAAATCATAATCGTAGACAATAAATCTAAATTTACAAACTCTTTTATAGTACCTGCATCTGTTACTTCGATTCCCTTTGCTAAGAATCGCACGTTTTTATGTTATAAATTCAATTGTTCACAACAACGCTGTGATATAAATGTTCGTTTCCTGCAGAGTCTGTGGCATAGACTTGGGCTGTAGGATGTAAGGTTGATTTCAAATTTTACACTGTACTGTTAGAACTTATCACAGTTTATGTATCTTCTTTCGCGGGTTCTGTTTTTTGGTGTAACTGCATGACTTAATATAGTTTCATGAAGATAAATATTAAATTTACCTTTCTTTTACATATTGCACATTTGTAAATCAATGTACATTCATAAACTGAATGTTGATCAGAAAAACAGTTGAAACACAATTGCTTCTTTTCAACCAAATTCTTTCCATGCAAAACTGAAGGAGTTTTGAATTTTTTGCACTTATTTAAAGTAAAATAAAAATAAGCCAAATGTCCAATACGGCTTTTTCATCAATAGTTTTAAAACCTCTAATAATTTTATCTGAGATGTGTATGCTAATGTTCTTAATTCCCTTTCATTAGGAGTAGACAGGGATGAAACAATTACTTTCTATTTGTCAAATCGTGCTATCACTTTCTTCCAAGCCTCTTCATAAGTTTCTTCTGACACAGGAATGTGTCTAATAACACGAGCAGAATCTCCTATCAACTTAAACTTCAAAAAATTTAAACTTCTGAATTTTAGATAATACTTGATTATTGTGAATTGTAGAAACATATAAATCCTTAAAACTATTCCAGTCCAAGTAAGAAGCAAAAAATTTAACTCTCTGGGGTAAGAAGCCTGACTATTTAGAATAACTAAATCAGCTTAACTTCTTTGCTGCTGAGTAAGTTGTAATAAAAAAATTTCCAAAGAAGAAGAAATTGTTTCCAGCGTAGAATATTCAGGGAGTGCCTTTTGCTCACTATCTTTCAATGTGCAGGTCAAGACCACTTTCGTATCCATACTCTTCTTCTACTAGAGCGAGATCGAATTGGTTTTCGGAAAGCCGACTATCATAATTTAAATAGTCGTTAAATGATGATTCTAAGTGCTGAACTCTTGAATTTATGTCTTCTACATCAAAAACAGTTCTCATATTGACAAAAGTTTGTATGTATATGAGTAACAGAAGCTTTCGCTCTACCTATCGGCATTCCCACTTTTCCTTTTAGAAGAAGTTGACAAAACCGACATTATTTTGATTTTAAGCTTATTCCAATAGAAAACTTAATTTAAAAAATTAGGCTCTCAAAATCTCGTCTGTATGCCTCCAAAAAATGTACAAGATACATGTGATTTTAACAAATTACTAAAAAAAAACAGTTTAACAAATATTTTATTTAAAACAGGAGAAGTAAAATTTTTAACCTCACATCTCAAATGTTAGGGAAGAAGTGAACTGGAAATGAAATGTAGTTGTAATACAATTATAAATGGAAGAATTCTTGCACACTTAGAAGTCTCCTTGAACAGTTCTTATATCTTTAATGTTTCTTAATTGTTTTGTAAAGAATAAAAGCATTCGTGGTTTTTATTTCTACATTGCCTTTATGGGGGATAGGCTTTATTTTTCTCTTTCTGATGGAAAATTTAAACAGAATCAGTGTAGAATAAATTATGTTATTTTAAGCAATTTGGGAAGTAGCTTATTGCAATTTAGATGCCATACAATTTATTTAATTAAAATATTTAATTTGCATTTATGTTGCTCGATAAAATATTTTATCTTTTTTTACTTTCATTGGAGAACATTACAGTTAATTTATTTTAAAATATACTATTTGTATTACGTGATAAAAGACATTTCTTCTTCCCCATGTTTATATCTTTTTATCCTCATATTATTCTCTCTTCTCTAACCTTTTATTGCTCTTCCTGGCCTTAAATAATATTAATGACAATAATGAATGATCAAAATAAGTTCAATTAGTTTTTATAAGTGTAATTACATTTCTTTTAAATGAGATAACAATTTTACAATGTTGTATCCCTGGACATCACTTATCCCTCCTCTGGAAAATGTTTTTCTCCACAATTCAACGCAACAATCTATAATCATCTAAAGTAGATTTTGTTTACTTCCATTACTAAGATTCTATTGTATGTCAAAAAAATTTCTTAATATAATGTATTAATTTTTAACCTGAAAAAACTAATTTCATTAATTAGATGAAAAAATTACGAATCAATTATATATATTTACATTAAAAAGTCACTATGTGTCCATGCCACTAACAAAAATGCTTCTTTTGTCTTATAGAAATCTTATGGCTGTAAAGTCTGCTGAGGAAATAATCAAAGCTTTGTGAAGATAAGATTTGTATGTATAGCATAATATTTTATGCCTTTTTGTACTGAATATTGTAAATTTCACATGAAGATTCGTGTTTTTCAGTTTCTATTGTCATAGTCATACTGTAAATTTTTCAATAAAGTCAGTAGGAATAGACTTCTTCTATATTATGTCATCATTAAAGACTATTGATTTCTGGATATAACCTGAACATTTATTCAATTTATTCAATATGGTTGCACCCAAGCAAAGTCACAACTAACTTCAGAGAGGTCAACAGATTAATGATAGACAAAATCTGGTTTTTAATTTGTCCCTATATGCACAATTTTCTTTTTCAGTTTAAACATTTTTTGCTTCATTTAGACCTAAAATCTTATCTTTGGGTTCTTCTTATAATATAAAAATTACTAGGAAATTTAAAAAGATGCTTGACAAACTTCAAGGTTTCAGTTTAATGCTTTTAGATTGCACGATTCTATCTATAAGCTTATTTTTCTTTATTCAAGTACTTTACTCAAGGGCAATCATATGCCTAAGTCTTGAGGATCGTAAGTTCCTCAAACAAGAAAAGGTACAATTTTAGTTTAGAATACTTAAATACTCAATCATAAATAATTTTTGAAAACTTAATATAGTGCACTGATCCAGCATTTATCACCTGAATCTTTAAAATTTTCTAGATTACTATAGCTATCTGTCCTTGCTTTCCCCATTGTTAATTTTCCTGCCATATGCAATTCCATCGTATCTTAAAGTGAACTATGCATTCTAAATCATTTGGCAGATTTGATTGATAAGCTTAGTATCCACATTTTTATTACATTTAAAAGTAAGGGTGTGCTTGCTTTAACCAGCTCATATTGATCTTTATTTTAGAATTAAAAATAATAACTTTTAGTAAAATTTACCTTAGAAAAAGTCTTTTATTACAATCTTCCAACCTATTATGAAAAAAAAAATGGCAAAATAAATTTCCAAAAATTACAATGTCTTCAACATATAAAAGATTCGCACTAGATTTAAACATATTAGCGCAATTACATTACTGAAATTTTATAAAAACTAAGTTTAAGGAGAACACTTTTAATTTTCAAAAACCATTTTCTAACACTTTGGTAAGCCCATAAAGTGCCCTTTTTAAGTTACAAAGTCAGATTTATCCTTATTAACAAATCCTGGAGGTTGTCTCAAAAAAAGACTTGTTTATTGAGCTTGGCATAAAGGTAAGCCCATTTTATATCAAGCTGACAATGGCACCATTTTAACATCCACACAAAAAAGGTTAAGAAAAATCTTATTAAACAAAAGTTCACTACACGGCTAAAAGCCTCATATGATTCCCCTTTCACTTGTGTATTGCCTTGTGCTGTTAATCTGGCTTGAAATCTGCCCTTTCCGACTTTCTTAACATTATAGACCAATCTGCAGCCAACAATTTTTACATCTTTAGGTTAAGGGACTAAATCCTAAACTTCCTGGTCATGCACAACTTTGATTTCCTCATCCATAGCATTCTTCCAATCCTGTCATTCAGGTGTTTTAAAAATTTCATTAAAATGTTTAGGAAATGTAATTTCTAAATTGGAGACTTCAGGACTTGGTTCTACTCTGCCTTTAGTATTAAATTTAGATTTATCATAAACAATATTATTACTAACACAATATTTTTCAATAACTTTAAAAGATCTAAATCTTAAGTTTTTACCATGTATATAGTAATAAATATCATTCCTACTACTGTCATTTCTTGGAACTATTTTACTTATCAGAAGAATTTCATTACACTGTGTTAATTAGGAGCAGGTAGGTACTGTATCTTGTGGAGTGGGATTGGAAGGATCATCAAACTCAAGGCAAGTTTGCGATTCATTACGATTTACTGAGTGATTTATATTATTTTGATTGTTCAATAAACCGTAACAAAACCTCTTAGTTTCATCAATTCTTACATTTATAGCTTCTATGACCATCTGGTCTTCAAGCACCCAAGCTCTGTATCCCTTGTTATTCGCTATCTTAACGCACGCCCGAATACACCCTGGGGAGAAGACCAGTTCTTGACCCCCCCCCTTCTCAGTTGTGTAGGACTGTACTAAGATATTTCCCCCTTCCTTAGTATTTTTGTATTTAACTGTCAAAAACTTTATTGGGGATAACATAAACTTGGAACTATATTGATTTATAAACTTGGAACTATGTTTAATGTAGTTTTCAGTTCCATATAGTTTTCCAACTTAAAAGATTTTTATCTATATGAAAATCAAGAGAGAAACTAACGTACTTCCTTCCTCTATAACTTTCCACATGCTAATGGGGANGAACTATGTTCAATGTAGTTTTAGTTTCCTAGCTTAATAGTTTTTAATCTATTTGAAAATCAAGACAGAAACTAATGTACTTCCTTCATCTGTGACTAGGTAGAGAGTTCTGTTCTACCCACGTATGGATCGCCAATTCTATAAATATGTCAATATTACACCTGTCTTAAATCAAGCTTCTTCCTTAATTGCATAGGAATTCCTACCTAAGCAACAGTGGCTTAAATAACACTCCCACAACCCCTACAGGAGTCTTGTCTTGGGGGGCACAAGATCCAGAAATAATACACTATATGATAGGATTATCTTTTAAATCAGAAATTTTGAAATGTGCTTTTAATTTTTTGACGAGCTAAATCTACATCAATATAGTTTTTAGATCGCTTCTTTCGGTGGTTTTGGTTATCACTTTTGAAGTTTTTTATTTGAGAGCATTTTATACTTTATCCAAGAGTTTTTGATCGTGTTTTGGATTTTCACGTGTTTCTCAAAGTCCCGATTTTTTAAATACGATGTACGACTCTCGCCGTGCTTTATTTGTGCAGATTTCATAGCTATTTCAACAGTTGTTCCTAGTCTTTTCCATAGGGTAACTCGAAAATCCTGGTATTTTTACGGTATTATAATGCAGTGTTCCCCAACGTGGATCAAATGATACCTGGTCTCCCATTTCATTGAAACTGAATTTGAATTCCTAGGTTTACACCCCAAATTAAAAATATCTGTGTTCCATTAAAATTTTAGCAGTAACAGCAACCAAAACAAAGCAACGGAATAAACTGGACGTAAGCAACACACTTCGAGTGTCATTGTCTCCGATTACCCCCAGGTGGAACCGTCTCATTGCAAATGAACAAGCTCAGGGTTCTCATTGAATTAACGTTCTAGTAAGCTAAAATGTTAAAACATTTTATATTTATTTTTTGGTGTAACTCTATTTTATTTTAAAGGCATGTTTAAATACAATTAAATTAAAATTAATAAATCAAAATAACCTAAAATATAAACAATCATTGTCCCCCCCCCCC